GAAACCAACAAATAAAACGAACCTTCAGTACTCGTTGTAAATATAAAATATGTTTAACCGCCTCTACGACCTATTCCGTCGCCGCCTCGCCCTCCTTCCGGTGCTCCGCGACTTCGAGGAGACAAGTTTCCGGTGGTTGGTTTTCTTTTCACTACCGTAAAAATTTACGCCTTCAGGTATCCACATCGCCCTAGACGAGATGAATTTCCAGGGGATGGGTTTTTTTACCGGCATTGCTCAACTATATGCGCCAACCTAAAGACGCAGATCACCTCCTCTGTTCCCGAGGCTCGTCCTCAAGGACTAAAATGGTGCGGGCCGCAACATTTCAAATTGTGAAGAATGCATGTATCAACTGAAGGGATAGCATGTACCATTTTTTTTTGTATTGAAAATGCATTCTCTACCGTTCTTCTAGGAAACTTTGCATTTATGTAGCACTATTACTGGTTTCTTTTTGTTATAGCGTACGAAATTCTGGTGGTTCTTGATGCATCTTGTCGGTCCTACAACGTTGTAGGTGGCCTTATTTTTTTGGTCCGTAGAAATTACCATTTGTTAGTGCCAACAATTTTTATCATATTTTTTAAAGTTTCACTTGTTGCCTTCCTAAGGGTCGGGGTAGTACTCCTCAGCCGGGAATTTAGCGATTCCGCATCTATGGCCATGTTAGCATGCTTTGCTTTTGGACTTCTTTCTTGGATTAATATTTACCATATCTAAATGATTTACGGCTTACTCGACTCAACAATAGCAGTAGCTTTGGGTACCCTGGTAAATGCAGAATCGAGGATCAGACATGGAAAGGCCTCTCAATATCTCTCATAACGGCATTTAGGGTTTTAATGGGATTTCTTAAGAACAAGAGGATGAGTGATTCAGAGATCAGGATGCATGAGGCAAATCTCAGGAGAAGAGAGGCAGCGATGATGAGGAGAGAGGTAGAGCGGACGTGGACAGAGGCTGATAATGGCTCTGGGATTGTTTGAACGATGGGTCTGTAGTATGGATAAACTGTCGTCAACTGATTACAATCATAATTCCATCATTATGATGATAAATTTTGTAATTCCTCTTAATTTTTGTGTTGTTTGCTTTCGTTGAATTGTTTTTCAACTTTGGAAACGTATTGTTTAGTCTACAAGTAAATGTGTGATGATTTTAGTAAGATAAGTGTTAACTTGTGAAACTAGCACCGATTTTCTTGAGACATCGAATGCACCTAATTGTTAGGACTGTGCTGTGTTTGAGAATTTTTTTGTGGTTCTTGATGGATCTTGTTGGTCGTACAACGTTGTAGGTGGCCTTAACACATGCTCGATAATTGAAAACAATTAATTGCGTACCTTTGCGCTTCCAGCGAAATTAAAAACAACATACATACTTATTTACTTAATCAAAATCAATTAGCATGCTCGCGTTTAAATCAAATAACATGCTCGCAATAAATCATGAATTTCATGTAAACATACAAAACATATAAAACATACAAATTCATGAAACGTACTACTAAAACGAACATGCATAATACTTAATTTAAACGAAACCGAATCAAACGACAATGGATTCGAGACTTTACCTCTTGAAGCGTGAGGTAGGCGCACTGAGCAAAGCTAGATTGCCACGGAAACCAATCCGGGGCAGCAACGGCGAAACGGCAGCATCGGCGAAGCGAGCTACGGCGGCGCGTGTGGCTCACGCGCTGTCTTCGGGCGGCGCGTGGGGGCGCGTGCAATGTCGGCTCGTGGGGCTGCTCCTCGATTCTTCGATCTTCGGTCTTCCTCCTATTGGATTGCACCTCGTATAGTTTGATATGCTAAAACGTGTCACTAGACACGAAGTAGTTAGAGTAAAACGGAAGAAACGAAAAGAGAAAAGAACTACCAATATGGATCGGCCAAGGGATGGCCGATTCCGGCGAGATAGCGGCGACAGCGGCCGTGGTGGCCGCAGGTTGAGATCGGCCGAGAGAGGTGAGAGCGGCTAGGGTTTAGTTCATGTGTTGTCTGTTTGCAAGACCTATAAAACAAGTATTTATAGTGCCTTGCATAAAACCCTAACGGGCTTAAGTTGGACCGAGCCCAACAGCTTAAGTTCGTTAGTTCTTCTACTCGCTCGTCTCTCTCAATTCGATGATCAGAAAATTGTAACAATTACATTTTCCAAATCATTATAATGTTCTTGTCATTACGAGTGCCAATTCTCAATTTCCAACTTTCTAAAAGTGGAAACCCTAATTCAGTGCACTTTCTAAATTTGGAAACTTTCCGATTTAGAAAGTCCACTAAGATGTTTGCCTACTCTTTTCCTTTTCTTATTCTCATTCATAATTCCAAATTACGAATGTTGGACCCAATCATATTGACTTCCAATCATGCAAAGATAAACTATTTTTATCTTTGACCGTTTATTCAAAGATCTCATGTGCACGAGCAGTGTGACCCTCGATGGTTCAGGTGTAAGCTAGCCGTGGGCCCACAAACCTTTGTGTTCAAAACTCATCCCTTAGAGTTACGATTAAGATGAAACTCGTTTCACCTTAATCACCCAACGAATCAAGATTGGCGTCTAGCAACTACGCGGCATGATTTCCTAGATGCAAATGAAGTGCCTGCAAGAACCTTTTGATATAGTTAGCGTACAGTACGATCCCTTCGATTTATGTCCCAATTGAACTAGAGGCATTGGTTCATCGAGACCTATTTATTTGTTCAATGACGGTGCGATCGTTCGAAGTGTTGTAATCGTTACGTGCATGACTTAGAGAATCGAATTCTCTAATCATCACTTAGTCAGCTCTTTCCAGAGACTTAGAGAGATTACAAACTGTAAGAACACACATGACATCCAAGAATATTCTAGCGATCGAATCCCCAACTACAATGCACATACCTCCCACTAGATTTTGAACTGCATGAATACTGGCCCTTGGGGTGGTCCTCGGTGGAACTCAGGGACAAGTCACGATACAGCTGGTCCTCTAGTAAAGTCACGGTGATGTCTAGGTCATAAGGACTAATGGTGTACAACTATACCATAGATATCTCTACTCGATTATTGGGAACTACTTAGAGATTTCAAGGGTGAGGGAGTTCAGTGAACTCGTCAACTTACGAGCACCCACTTATGCATGCCGATATCACAATACCGTTTACTGATGAGATGTAGTACACATACACTAAGTGCTCGTCTCTTAATGGGAAAGGCCGATATCCTCATTGGTGGCATAACCCTTCGTCTAGGAACATGTTTGACAGTTATAATAATTAAGTAAATATCTCACGATCCTAACGATCAATTACTAGTACTTGTAATAACTGTAAGGACTATATCTATGCTTGTGACAAAGGGAAAAAGATATAGAATGCCAAGGTGTTTTATCATTAATACAAAAAAGGTTCGTTTATTACAAAAATAAATACAAAAGACCACAGCCACATGTTGGCTTGTTGGTCACCTACTCTAACAAAGGCCTCTCAGTATCTTTCATAAGGGCATTTAGGGTTTTAATGGGACTTCTTAGGAACAATAGGATGAGTGATGTAGAGATCAGGATGTGTGAGGCAAATAGCAGGAGAAGAGAGGCAGAGCTGATGAGGAGAGAGGCAAAGCTGACGTGGAGAGAGGCTAATAATGGCTCCGGGATTGTTTGAACGATGGGTTTGTAGTATGGATAAACTGTCATCAACTGATTACAATCATTATTCCATCATTATCATCGTAAATGTGTGAGGGTTTTAGTAACATAAGTGTGAACTTGTGAAACTAGCACAGATTTTCTTGAGACATCAAATGCACCTAATTGCTACGACCATGCTGTGTTTGAGAAATTTCTGGTGGTTCTTGATGGATCTTGTTGGTCCTACAACGTTGTAGGTGGCCTTAATTTTTTGGTCCGTAGAAGTTACCATTTGTTAGTGCCAACATTTTTTATCATTTTTTTTTAAAGTTTAACTTGTTGCCTACTTACCGGTCAGGGCAGTACTCCTCAGCCGGAAATTTAGCAACTCCGCATCTATGGCTATGTTTACATGCTTTGCTCTTGGAATTCTTTCTTTGATTAATATTTACCATATCTAAATGATTTACGGCTTACTCGACTCAACAATAGCAGTAGCTTTGGGTACCCTGGCAAATGCAGAACCCGAGGATCAAACATGGAAAGGCCTCTTAGTATCTTTCATAAAGGCATTAAGGGTTTTTATGGGACTTCTTAGGAACAAGAGGATGAGTGATGCAGAGATCAGGATGCGTGAGACAAATCTCAGGAGAAAAGAGGCAGAGCTGATGAGGAGAGAGGTAGAGCTGACGTGGAGTGAGGCTGATAATGGCTCTCGGATTGTTTGAACGATGGGTCTGAAGTATGGATAAACTGTCGTCACTTGATTACAATAATTATTCCATCATTATGATGGTAAACTTTGTAATTCGTCTTAATTTTAGTGTTGTTTGCTTTCGTAGAATTGGTTTTGAAGTTTGGTAACGTATTGTTTAGTCTACAGGTGAATGTGTGAGGGTTTTAGTAAGATAAGTGTGAACTTGTGAAACTAGCACTAATTTTCTTGGGAGATCGAAAAGATTTTATTATTCCATTTAAGATAGGAAAGAGGGGCCTCGTTAAAACCTTGTGGGCCTAACACAAGGAAAAAGAGTACCCCTACAATGGAAATAAAAAATCAGCGTCTAAGGTAACTAGACGATTACAAATATGACCCAAAATGGGTTATTAAATGCTCATATTAAAGTATGTAATGCGGCTATTCTTAACCACCCCCAACTTTCTTGTACTTCGCTGAAAAGCCCCACAGATGGGGTCAATTTGTAATTTTTGAAATTCCGCATCCCTAGCCAACATGTTTTAGAATAATGCAGAATCACCCCTATGCTTATTCCATCTTCCCATTCTCTACAACCAATGACTCTCTCTTCCAATATTCGAAAGTTCCACCCCCAACACAGCGTGCTCCTACCCCTCCTCCTAAGATGTAGTTCCGTGTGTCTCATTTACGAAAATTCGCAATACCGAGCTTATCACTAATGTACGCAGCCTTCACTTCTTGAGGCATATTGTTCCGGGAGAAAACCTCTTGATAAGATTTATGTGTATATGCCCAATTGGCTAAACGGTCTGCCACCGTATTCTCTTGGCGAAACACCTGTGTGATCTTATGGTATGGTCGAATCTGTTGCATGCAAATCCAATATACGTACTCCAAATCCCACGCCACTCCCAGTTTCTTGATCGCGTTGACCGTTAAAAGAGAGTCCGTCTCGACTACAACTGCTCCAATCCCTAATGAATGACACAGGCGAAGACCCACGGCCACCGCAAAAATTTCAGCATAATTATTCGTACCTTTCCCAAAGAAAGCCGAAAATCTTGCAATAATACCACCTTCTGAATTACGAATGATGCCCCCGCCCGTACACATCTCTTCTTTCGCGGACCCATCTGTATTAAGTTTGTATGTTCCAACCGCATGAGGCTCCCATTTATGCCATACTCCACGCCTAACCATTGGTTGTGGCCCGTAAATACCTAGTGCCGCCAGCTGTAGGAGTTGCGACTTCGTGGACATTTGGTGAGGTCTGTGTACGATACCCAGGTATTTTACTTTATGGAGCACACATTGGCATATATCAGTCGCTGTCATAACCCCTCCGTCGTAAACCACCTTGCATCTTGCGATCCATATTTCTCGGATGATATGGCAGACTACTGATGTTCGAACCATGACGTAAGTTGAGTGAGTCTTCGGTTTCGGCGTCCATATGCGAAGCGCGTGTTTCACTGACTCAAAAGCCCACGGAATTCTGAATATTAAACCAAAGTGCCGCCATACTGATTGTGCAACTTCCGACTTAAAAAAAAGATGTCTGATGTCTTCTTGGTGGGGGTTGTTGCAGCATACACATCTTGACATTATCGGAATTCCTCGAGTTACTATACGGAGGTCAACCGGGATAGCGTGATGCAGAATTTTCCACATAAAGCCACTAGTTTTGGGTGGAATGTAGTTGAGCCATACCCGAACAGACCAGTGTTGCCTCCGACCATTTTTCCGCCAAAAATTATAATACTCTTTGGACGAGAAAATTCCCGTTTGTGTTAGTGTAAATATGAGTCTGTCAGGTTGTTTCTCATCCAACTTAACACGAACAATTTTCTCATGCCAATATGTTTGAATGAGCGGTAAATAATCCGCTATTTGAGAGAGCGATTTGGCCAATGTAAGCTGACGGTCGCACTGGAGAGGTCCGATAGCGCCTCGCCAATCCAGTTTTCCATCCAAAAACTTATATCTCCTCGCCCTACGAGCCATCTAGTACCCTCCTTCATGCTATCTACATGCTTGTGTATTGCAATCTAAAGAGGGGATGCCGTTTGCCGATTAGTATTATTCCGTTTATCGCAATATTTGGCTTTCGCAAATCGGGCCCATAAAGTCTGCCCTTGGTTGACCAACCACCATAGATTCCCATGCATGCAGTCCATTACATCTCTTAATAGCCGAATGCCCAATCCTCCTTCGTCAATCGGGGTACAAACGATCTTCCATCGAACCCAGTGTGTTCGCGCGTCATTACCCGAGCTCCAGAGAAACATAGCCATGATTTGTTCTATATGCTTTAAAACCGAAACAGGGACTTTTGTGCATGCCATCATATAAACCGGAATGCTTGCAAGCACCGATTTTATTAATGTGATTTTTCCGGCAAAAGACAAAATTCTCCCCTTCCACGCCGTAAGCTTTTCCCGAACCTGCTGCACCACGTTTTCATAATATTCAGCTTTTGATCTGCCAAAAAAGATAGGAACTCCGAGATATCTAAATGGGAACTCTTTTCGCCGAAAAACCGTAATTCGCTCAATGGAATGAGCAACACCCTCGCCCCATTTACGCACATAGTAATGACTCTTACCTGCATTGACTCGTTGCCCGGAAGATCTTTCATATGAGTGAATAGTGTCCATAAGGTTCATTAAAGATTCTCGCCCACCATTAGTGAACACTAGGATGTCATCCGCATATAGCAGGTGAGATATAGAAACATCGTCCCTCCCCACTTTGTAGGGTCGAATGTGCTTTGCTGCAATATTTTTGGTAATATTCTGCATCAATATTTGTTGAGCCAAAATTAAGAGGAACGGGGATAGCGGATCACCTTGCCGAACCCCACGAGAGGATTTGAAATTCCCCATGATTTCCTCGTTTATACTGAACAAGTACCATATATTAGAAATATTGCGATAGATGAGATCGCATGCAGCATGAGAGAAGCCGAACACTCGCATTGCGCGAAGAAGGAAACGCCATTCTAACCGATCGTATGCTTTCGCCATGTGGAGCTTGAAAACCACGTTACCCCCTTTACGTTCTATATTGATATCTCGAACCAATTCTTGCGCCATGACAATATGAGCCTCCATCTGTCTCCCTTGCACAAAACCTGTCTGTTCGTCCGAGATAATGAGAGGGAGAATATGTCCAAGACGCCTAGCAAGGATTTTTGATATAATTTTGCCTGAAAAATTCCCCAAGCTGATGGGCCGGTATTCTGCAATATTTCGGGCATTCTGCATTTTTGGTATAAGAACCAACATCGTCCGGTTCATGTCCTTAGATAGATAGCTCCCGCGAAAGAAGTCCCTAACCATGTGAACTAACTCACGTTTAATTATGTCCCAGCAGATCGTGTAAAAATGTCCCATAAATCCGTCGTTACTTGGTGAGATTTCCGGGTTCATCGACTTAAGTGTTTCAAGAATCTCCCCCTCCTCTGGTATTTTGCAAAAATCCCCATTTATTCCATCCGTAACTATCTGCGGTGTATTCTTAAATAGCTCATCATGCAAGTAATACTTTGATGCCTTGAAAAGGTCCGAAAAGAAACTTTTGGCGATAAGCCCAATTTCTTGTTAACTTGTGGTAATCGTCCCATTCTGTCTAGACACCTTGATAAATGATTTTTTCCGCCGATCTGTTATACTAGCATGTACTGCCAAATGGTATGTAGAAGTTACCATTTGTTACTGCCAACAATTTTTATCATATTTTTTAAAATTTCACTTGTTGCCTTCTTACGGTCGGGGCAGTACTCCTCAGCCGGGAATTTAACGATTCCGCATCTATGGCCATGTTTACATGCTTTGCTCTTGGACTTCTTTCTTTGATTAATATTTACAATATCTAAATGATTTACGGCTTACTCGACTCAACAATAGCAATAGCTTTGGGTACCCTGGTAAATGCATAACCCGAGGATCAGACATGGAAAGACCTCTCAGTATCTTTCACAAGGGCATTTAGGGTTTTAATGGGACTTCTTAGGAACAAGAGGATTAGTGATGCAGAGATCAGGATGCGTGAGGCAAATCTCAGGAGAAGAGAGGCAGAGCTGGTGAGGAGAGAGGCAAAGCTGACGTGGTAGAGGCTCATAATGGCTCCGGGATTGTTTGAAAGATGGGTCTGTAGTATGGATAAACTGCCGTCAACTGATTACAATCATAATTCCATCATTATGATTGTAAACTTTGTAATTCCTCTTTATTTTTGTGTTGTTTGCTTTCGTAGAATTGTTTTTGAAATTTGGAAACGTATTGTTTAGTCTACAGTTAAATGGGTGAGGGTTTTAATAAGATAAGTGTAAATTGTGAAACTTGCACAGATTTTCTTGAGACATCGAATGCACCTAATTGTTACGATCGTGGTGTATTTGAGAAATTTCTGGTGGATCTTGATGGATATTGTTGGTCCTACAGCGTTGTAGGTGGCCTGAATTTTTTGGTCTGTAGAAGTTACCATTTGTTACTGCCAACAATTTTAATCATATTTTTTAAGGTTTCACTTGTTGCCTTCTTACCGGTCGGGCCAGTACTCCTCAGCCGGGAATTTCGCGATTCCACATCTATGGCCATGTTTACATGCTTTGCTCTTGGACTTCTTTATTTGATTAATATTTACCATACCTTAATGATTTACGGCTTATTCGACTCAACAATAGCAGTAGCTTTGGGTACCCTAGTAAATGCAGAACCCTAGGATTAGACATGGAAAGGCCTCTCAATATCTTTCATAAGGGCATTAAGGGTTTTAATGGGACTTCTTAGGAACAAGAGGATGAGTGGTGCAGAGATCAGGATGTGTGAGGCAAATCTAAGGAGAAGAGAGGCATAGCTGATGAGGAGAGAGGCAGAGCTGACGTGGAGAGAGGCTGATAATGGCTACGGGATTAGTTGAACGATGGGTCTGTAGTATGGATAAACTGTCGTCAACTGATTACAATCATAATTCCATCATTATGATGGTAAACTTTGTAATTCCTCTTAATTTTTGTGTTGTTTGCTTTCGTAGAATTGATTTTGAAGTTTGGAAACATATTGTTTAGTCTACAAGTAAATGTGTGAGGGTTTAGTAAGATAAGTGTGAACTTGTGAAACTAGCACCGATATATTCTTGAGACATCGAATGCACCTTATTCTTACGACCGTGGTGTATTTGAGAAATTTCTGGTGGTTCTTGATGGATCTTTTTGGTCCTACAACGTTGTAGGTGGCCTTATTTTTTTGGTCCGTAGAAGTTACTATTTGTTACTGCCAACAATTTTCATCATATTTTTTAAAGTTTCACTTGTTGCCTTCTTACCGGTCGGGGTAGTACTCCTTAGCCGGGAATTTAGCAATTCGGCATCTATGGCCATGTTTACATGCTTTGCTCTTGGACTTCTATCTTTGATTAATATTTACCATATCTAAGTGATTTACGGCTTGCTCGACTCAACAATAGCAGTAGCTTTGGGTACCCTTGTAAATGCACAACCCGAGGATCAGGCATGGAAAGGCCTCTCAGTATCTTTCATAAGGGCATTTAGGAAAAAGAGGATGAGTGATGCAGAGATCAGGATGCGTGAGGCAAATCTCAGGAGAAGAGAGGCAGAGCTGATGATGAGAGAGGCCTGATTCCAGTTGCTTGCGATATCAATTGTACTGAAACACAACTAGCCATCATGTATGTTACTTGAACATGAGCCTATGAGCTAGGTTGAGAGAGGCTGATAATGGCTCCGGGATTGTTTGAACGATGTGTCTGAGTATGGATAAACTGTCGTGAACTGATTACAATCATAATTCCATCATTATGATGGTAAACTTTGTAATTCCTTTTTATTTTTGTATTGTTTGCTTTCGTAGAATTGTTTTTGAAGATTGGAAACGTATTGTTTAGTCTACAAGTAAATGTGTGAGGGTTTTAGTAAGATAAGTGTCAACATGTGAAACTAGCACCGATTTTCTTGAGACGTCGAATGCACCTAATTGTTACGACCGTGGTGTGTTTGAGAAATTTCTGGTGGTTTTCTTTTGGTCCTACAACGTTGTAGGTGGCCTTATTTTTTGGTCCGTAGAAGTTACGATTTGTTACTGCCGACAATTTTTATCATATTTTTTAAAGTTTCACTTGTTGCCTTCTTACCGGTCGGGGCAGTACTCCTTTGCCGGGAATTTAGCGATTCCGAATCTATGGCCATGTTTACATCCTTTGCTCTTCAACTTCTTTCTTCGATTAATATTTACTATATCTAAATGATTACGGCTTGCTCGACTCAACAATAGCAGTAGCTTTGGGTACCCTGGTAAATGCAAAACCCGAGTATCAGACATGGAAAGGCCTCTCTGTATCTTTCATTATGGCATTTAGGGTTTCAATGGGACTTTTTAGGAACAAGGGGATGAGTGGTGCAGAGATCAGGATGCGTGAGGCAAATATCAGGAGAAGAAAGGCTGAGGAGAGAGGCAGAGCTGACGTGGAGATAGGATGATAATGGCTCCGAGATTTTTTGAACGATGGGTCTGTAGTATGGATAAACTATCGGCAGCTGATTACAATCATAATTCCATCATCATGATGGTAAACTTTGTAATTCCTCTTAATTATTGTGTTGTTTGCTTTCGTAGAATTTTTTTGAAGTTTGGAAACGTATTGTTTAGTCTACATGTAAATGTGTGAGGGTTTTAGTAAGATAAGTGTGAACTTGTGAAACTAGCACCGATATTCTTGAGACGTCGAATGCACGTAATTGTTACGACCGTGGTGTGTTTGAGAAATTTCTGGTGGTTCTTGATGGATCTTGTTGGTCCTACTTCGTTGGAGGTGGCCTTAGTTTTTTGGTCCTTAGAAGTTACCATTTGTTACTGCCAACAATTTTTATCATATTTTTTAAAGTTTCACTTGTTGCCTTCTTACCGGTCGGGGCAGTACTCCTCAGCCGGGAATTTAGCAATTCCGCATCTATGGCCATGTTTACATGCTTTGCTCTTGGACTT